ACAACTTTCTCAGCATTTTCTCCTGTAGCCACAACAAGCCACTGGCAAATATATTCAACTTCTAAACCATTTGGAGAAATAGTTTTCACCTTCCACAATTTGCAAGATTGATCATATTTTGCAAATTTAACACACTCATTGAATCTTGGATTGATGTTGAATTTTCTAGCATATGATTCAAGATATTCAATGAATTGTTTCTTTGTGGGGTATTCAGGGTAGTGTTGTGGAAATGGGAATTTGGGTAATTGACAAAATTGTTTAGGGAGGTGTAGTTTTAATCTATCATAAGTTTTTTTCTGCCATAATGATGCAATACAATCAGATTTTTCCAAGATTACACAAGGAATTCCTTCTTCTTTTAAACATGCACCCACAGCTAGTCCTGATGGACCTGCACCTACAATAACAGGACCATTTACCCATACACATTTACTAGAAAAGAAATCTTGATCATTGAAGTTAACCATATTTGTTGATCTATTGTGAAAAAATTGACGACTGACTTTGAAAGCAGAACACGGACCTATTTTTATTATTCTTATTTTTTTATTACTCAATGGTGGAGTGAAAAAGTTGGTGACTGACTTTGAAAGCAGAATACGAACCTAATTTCGCTATTCTTGATTTTTATTGAGCAATGGTAATGTGTGAAGATATTGAAAGAAGAGGAAGTTGGTTTTTTGTAAGTTTGTATTTGAAATTGAGAACTAAGGAGGTGTTTAAATAGAAGTGTATGTAGTGAGATATATGATAGGGGAATGTGATAGAAGGTGAGAAATTAATGCCTTTCAATGGGTCATTTTCAAATATAATCATAAGCTAGATTTTGCCAACTATTATTTTATTTGAGTAACTAATTGATAAACAAACTATCAGCTCATACCAAATATAACTTTTATATTATTATTATTTTAATCGGTTATGATAAGTTATTGACTTGTCTTTATGTTATATGCCTTATTTTATATGTACTAGTTATATTTATAATTGACAATTACTTGTAGTTACAAAAGAAAAAAGGACAGTCCGTGCATTAAGGTTCTACTATGCATGACGTCCAGGAAATTACATGACCACAAGGGTCTATTGTATGCAATTTTACCTTGCATTTTTGTACGTGACTGTTTTAACGGCTCGAACACGTGATCTCCTGATGGCATGACAATATTTTATTAATTACGCCAAAGCTCCCCTTCAATTACTTATTATTATTTTTTAAATAATTTGATGTTCTTAAAATACCAATAAATTTGATAGTGTTACAAAATTATTTAGTGTCAGTGCACAAAAATTAAATTTTCTATTCCAGTCCCCACACTATAAGATAGGGGGTTAGCCTAAAATGTCCTTCTTGGGGGTGCTCATAATTTGACTGCTATGTGCTAAGGTCGTTTTAGCCACAAAAATGCCCATTCCTGCCAGCTGAAAAACCCATGGTTTACACCACGTTATTGGTGCCATGTAGATTGACCCCACTTTATTCCTTTATCCACTCTACTTCTTAGAATTTATAATATAATCAAATTTATAATATGATTTATAAATATGTAGATTAGATTGATCCGATAAAATAAATTAACAAAAAAACAAATAGATTAAAATAAAAGTAATTGAAGAAAAGATAAGTTTGGGCTTTAAAATGCGCCCACCTAGATAAAAAATAAATGAAAACTCTCGATAATACTTGTATAAAGCTTAAGAGAGAGAATACTGATCTTTTTCTATTAAGATTTCTTGATGTCTTACAATAAAATGAAAGCTTTTGTTTACACTAGAGCTATAAGGTGTATGACCTACTAACTGATTATTAATATTAATACTATAGTAAAAAATTATAAGAATGCAATAAAGAATGATAAAAGGTAATAAAG